GCTCTCCGCCACCGCACTCGCCGCGCCCGCGGACGGAAGGGGGCTGGCGTCGGACAGAACCGCAGAACGTGGGGCCCGGGCTGTGCAACGGGAGAAGTCTCTGGTCTGCGGCGTCCGGGTCAGGACCGAGCCCGCCTGGCGCCCCCTCTCGCTTTCGGCCGGCCTGCTCTCCGACCCCGGATCCTTGCCGTGCGCCCTGTTCCGCCGCCCCGCACCCTGAGGTCCTCTCCTTACAGACTATTTGAGCGAGCGATCCGGCCGGGTCGTCCTGGGCCGCGCACGCCTCGCCCCTCCTTGGGGGATGGGTCCCCGCCACCGAGGAGACCGCGCTGCCGGCCCCGGAGTGTCGGAAAGGAACCCCGGGGGCCCTCGGAGCCGTCCAGGTCTCAAGTCCCAGCCCAGCCAAGCCTTTGCTCCAGCCCCAGCACCACTGTCCCTCGCTCCAGCGCCTCCTGCCTCCCCTAAAGGCTCCCATTTTTCCTTCACAGCAGACGGATTCCCTTCATATGCAAGCAAGCCGGGAGACCCGCGCTTTGCGCCGCAGTTCTTTCTCCTGAGCCAATCCCTGTGGCCGTCGTCTTGGTCCCTACTCTGACCCCACTTTCTGATCCCCTCCATTCCGTTTCTGCCGGCCCCTTCTGAGGTCTCTCTCCAAGGCTGCATTCTCCGGGCTCTTCCTCTCCACCTTATCCACCTGTGAAGACTGGGCACCGAGCAGTGCGCCCTTCTCCCCACCTCCTGCCACACGTCCACCCACCCGCCAGCCCTCTGAACATCTCAGCATCAGCAAGTCCCAGCAGCCCTCCTCCACCCCAAGGCAGCACCAACAGCTCTGCCGCAGCCTTCACGGAGGGGAGCTTTGCCCTTGGCAGATGTTCACAGCAAAACCACAACAGTCCTTCCAGAAATCGTGTCTGCTCCCTCACCTCAGAGCCACCAGAATCCTCTTTGCCATGCCTCTGCCACTGGCCCACAGTGTCCCTCACCTGTCCCCTTGAGTCCCTTCCTGTCTCCCTGTCATCCTCTTCCTACTCCAGTCTCTGCAAGACAAAAATGTTCTTTTTCTACTCTGGTAAAATATGCATGACATAATCATTTTAACCATCTTTCCTCTTTTATTTATTTATTTATTTTTGAGAGGTTCTTGCTGTAGGGCGTGTGCACTCGCCAGAGAGACAGAGAGAGACAGAGAGACAGAAAGTGAGAAATCACTCCCCAGGGGGAATGCCG